TCTTGATATTATAGAGAATATAAGCCTGTTTCTATATAATAATGTAAATATTGTCAGTGAGATGTAGAGAAACTGATTATTTAGATCTTAAAATAGAAGACTTTGTCAATGATTATATCAATATAAAGTTAATTCTCAAATTCAATAGAAATCTAGTGTTGCTGTTCTCAATTTCCTACAGAATCTATTGAATATTGAGATATTAAAACTAGATTTAATATATCTCACTGTGCAGGGATCAAAGGCTCAGTCAGATCTTAAGATGTACTGATTTTATAGTTGTTGATATACTGTTGACTCATTCTGTTAACTCATTGTCTGCTGATTATGTATTAAATACTGTTATCAAGATATCTTTTTGTATTATTCTGTCAGAGATGAGCCAGATTGAGAGAGGTGATACAAGAATGAGACTTAATATTGATGTCTAAATACACTGAAGACAGACAGAGTATTCACAGAGATTGCACTTCAGATATGTCTGTTAATTATATACTTGATATTATTATCAAGATATCTTTTTGTATTTTTCTATCAGAGATGAGCCAGATTGAGAAGAATGATATGAGGGTGAAACTTGATGTTAATGTTTTGAAATATTAAAGATGAACAGGGTTTTCACAGAGATTGCTTCTCAGATATCTTCACAATTATAGATTGAGAATCTTTCAAAATCAAGAAGATTGATACATATGACTAGGTCTCTTCATCTTACAATTTGTATGACAATTTGGCCCGGGGTTGTGGTGTGATAGAGATGAATGAGGAATAATCCCACACGGAAGTTTCAAACAACATCTGGTTCATATTTGGCTGGATAACTCCACCACCACACGGGGTATGCAGTCAGCGATGGGGTCAGAATGCTCATATGATCGAGAGCTTTTCAATGGATCTATCGGCGGGTTCTTATTCGAAAAATTGAGCGAGTTCGTGGTGAAGCGGTCTCTGGCAAGACTATGAATCTGACATAGATCTCTGTCAACACTTATAAAATGCTTTGAATAAGAAGTTATTAACAAGATCACTGATAAGATTACTGATAGCAGAATTATGTGACAATCTACTCTATCAGTCTGACTGATATTAAAAAAGCTCTAGAAAAGTTATCTTATATTACAATAACAGACTCTCATACAAAACTTTCTTAATAATATTATAAATATCTAGATATCTTCTAATAAAATAATGTTACAAACCTACTCTTCTTACAAGACTCAGAGATAGATCACAGTATCAAGTTAGAAAAGAAGAATAATAAGAATCTCAAATCATTTTAAAGTCTTCTTTATAACATGTCTTAAGATAAACTTCTTCTTCTTCAAAAGACACTTAATAATCTGTTGAATAAAGAATTTATACATATTAGTAACTCTTTCATCACAGCTTCTATTCTCTTTGCAAAGAAATCAAATAAGAGACTCTGATTCTGTGTAAACTATCAAGAACTGAACAGATTGATAAAGAAAGACTGCTATTTCTTATCTCTTCTCAATGAAATTCTAGCTTATATCAGACAAGCTCAATGATTTACAAAGCTAGATATTATTACTGCTTTTCATAAGATCTGTATCACTAAAGAAGATAAGTGACTTACAGTATTTTAAACTCAATATAATCTCTTTAAATGAGTAGTCACATCTTTTGAATTAACTAACACTCTCAGTACATTTCAGAAGTATATTAACTGAGCACTGTGAGATTTTCTTAATAAGTTTGTATCTGTTTATCTTGATAATATTCTCATCTTTACTGATGAGTTCAGAAAAGAATATCAAGAGTATATATAAAGAGTACTATAATAACTACAAGAAGCAGAACTACTGATAGATATAGATAAGTGTGATTTTGAAGTTAAGAGTATAAAATATCTAAATTTTATCATAGAAGCTGATAAGAGAATCTGAATAAATTCTGAAAAGATCTCTGCTATTCTTCAATGAGAGGCTTCATACACTGTGAAAGATGTATAAAGCTTCATTAGATTTGCTAACTTCTATCAGTGATTTATACAAAACTTCTCAGATGTTGTAAGATCACTTACAGAACTTATTAAGAATAATGCAGTATTTCAATAATTAGTAAATATCAAAGTGAAATTTATACAGATGAAGAAAATGTTCATTAATATCTCTCTACTAATAATATTTAACTCTGATTGTAAAATAATTATTGAAGCTAACTTCTCTGACTATATTACAGAGAGAGTTATATTATAATATAATAATAAAGATGTCTTATAATTATGCATCTTCATGTCTAAGAAACTGAGTGCTGCTGAATGTAACTATGAGATCTATGATAAGAAACTTCTTATAATAGTACACTATCTAGAAGAATAAGACTCTGAGCTTCAAAGTGTCTTTAAATTTGAGATAATCACAGATTATAAGAATCTCAAGAACTTTACAATCACTTATAAGCTTATTAAATAACAGATGCAATGATCTGAGCTATTAAGTCATTTTCATTTCACAATACACTACTGCTCTGACAGTCAAAATTTGATAACAGATGCTCTCTCACAACAAGAGTAAGATATGTCATTTAATATAACAGACACTCACTGAATGAACTGAGAGCATCAGCTCTTGAATTCAAAGATACTAGTTAATTGTAATAAGAGTATTCGTAATACTATACACACTTCTCTAATTAGAACTGTTATTAATATTTCAACTTCTCTTAAATCTACACTGAATAAATTATGATATACAACAGCTCAGACTGATAGCCTTCTTCAAACACTCACTAAGACAGTATATTAAGAAGTACTCTGATTTCTCTCAGAACTACATATATGAACTGACATCTCAGAATACTTAATCAATGATAATAACACTCTGTGATTCTGTGAATAACACTGAGTCTCTCATTCTGAACTCTTATACACTAGAATAATACAAGAGATGCATGATTTGTATATAATCAGTCACTCAGATTATAAGCAATTATATTAAATAATTTCTTGAGAGTTCTACTGACCTGAGATATCAAGCAGCATCAGATACTTTGTCTGAAACTGTAATTATTATTTCTCTGTTATCTTATAAAAAGATCATAGAAAAGATTTACTGAAATTACTTAATATCTCTAATAGAATCTGATAAGATGTAGTTATTAACTTCACTAGCAATCTTTCTAAGAGTAAGAGTTGTAAGAATATCCTGATCATTATTGATCAATTAAGTAAAGATGTTATATTAGAATCTTGTGATAAGATGAATACTGAATAAGTTACTGAAGTCTTTCTACACAGGTTATTCTATCAGATACATAGATTGCTGAGATCTATAGTATTGAATCAAGATTATCAATTTATAAGCACTCTCTGAACAAGAATCTGTCAAGTTCTCAAGATTATACACTGTTTATTAACTGCTTATCACTCTGAGACTGATGATATATCAGAATAGATAATTCAGACTGTAAAGAATTATCTTTATAAGTTCTGTAATCACTTATAAGATGATTGATATAATCTTCTTCTACATGCAGAGGTTGCTATCAATGATCAAGATACTGTCTTAATAGATGAAAGTCTGTTCTTTCTTACACACAGTTATCACATGAAAGTGTTAAATCTTCTAGAGATCACACAGTTCATACTGAATCTCTACAGTTTAATTCAGATCAGTGATAACATAGTAACAAAGCTTTGAGATACTTGCAACTGAGTAGAAGTCTTCATGATAAGTGCTAAACAAGATTAAGAAGACTAAGTCAATAATTAATGAAATTCTGCTGAGCAATATAAGATAGAACATCTTATATAATTAAATCTTAAAAATATACAGATCACACATCTATCTTGTACATTGAATTATTATTATATGAGATACAAGATAATAGAAGTTCTAGACAGTTATAACTACTGTCTTAATTAAACTGACTGTGTGACCGTGTGACCGTGTCTGAGACCAGGACCAGATTTTTTGATAGTCTCATTAGCAATTCGACTGATCTCATTACACAGTTTTAACATTAGATAGTAGTTTTATACTGTCTCAGTGAGACTTACTGTCTACTCTTATCACATTTTTCAAATGAGATCATGATTTTCACTTCTCAATTTAAATTATTTTTATTGCTTTAAATGACTTTAAATCTCATTTAAGTGTTATCAAAAAGTGTTACTTTTTAAAAAATTAAAAATAGTCTAAAAAAACCTTAAAATATCTAAAAATAGTAACTTTATGTTAAGAATGGAACTAAATGAGATCAAATGAGATCACTTTCTTATTTTTTTCAAGTCATGATTTCATTTTAAGATCTGATATATAGTCACTTTGCATGTTTTTCTAATGACTAGTCTCAGCGGGATTCACGCCAAGAAATGTATGAGATCAGATCAAATGAAACTAAATGTGAAATTCATGATTTCAGCAGCCAGTCTACAAATCACATTATTTCAATTATTAAAGATTTCAGATTCACTTTTTAAAAAAAAATCTAGTTCTAGATAAAGAATATGTTTGAATTCTTAGTTACATATTTATTCTGATTTCATTATTGAGAATGATATTAAATAAGATTATGAAATCATTTCTCACTTATATAATATTATAATATAGTACTCATTTATTGAAAATTCAATAGAGAGTATTATTAAGTATTATTACTTTTCTGAACACAGATTATAATTCAAATAATTTTAATTATAAAAAAAATATAAAATATAAAAAAAAATAAAACAATAAAAAACAAAATAAAAATAAGAAACAATCACAATAAAAAAAAGAGAAAGAAAAAAAAAATAAAAGAAAAAGAAAAAAATAAAAAATAAAAAGAAAAAAATAAAAAATAAAAACAAAAAAAATCAAGATTGCAGAGCTGCAGCATCTTTAAAATACTCACTTCTCAGAGTCTTTATAATATTCATTATTAACTGTGTATCTCTCACACTGAGAATAACATAGCTGTGATAAGTTATTATCTTAATATTATCTAATACATAATTAGTATATATCTGTATAAATGTGAATAATTAGAAAATATACATTTAAAAAGTGTGATCAGAGTGAACTGTGCTGTCACTTGAATAATATTAAGAATAGAATACTGAAATTGATGATTCTTCTTATTGATTTCATAAACAAGATATATAAAGATAGTCTTGAGAAGTATAAGATTCTCTGACTTCTGATAAAAATAGATCTCACAGAGAGAGTCTATTTGCATGATATTAGAGACTGAGTGTTATTAAAATGTATTACTTTTATATAATATACATGCACTTACTTCAGCAATTCATTCTCTGTGTATATAAGTGAGAGTTGTAGCTTTCTTATATCACATGACTTCTATTAAGATGCTGATACTGATGTGTAACTCATGCAGCTTCTCAATTTAGCACACACTGCATATATACAGCTCTGTATACTGAGATCATGTTGGTTATTATAATCTGATGTGATACTCACTTTTCTCACATCATATTCATTTGAGAGAAGGAGGGGGAACATGACTGCTGTTTTTTTAAGAGAGAGTGAGTAATTGATTGTTGTAGAAGATAATTTAATTTCTGCTACATTTGTTAAAAATTTGATTTGTCTATACTCTTCAATTTGAGAATTTCCGAGAGTGTTTTAATAGTTTTCATATCAGCTTGAAATTAGTGATGATTTGAAGAAGAGAAAAGAGAGAAGAAAGAAATGAGAATAACTTATCTTTATAATATGAAAACAGAGAATTACTGCAATTATTCACTCTAGTAATAAAGATCTGTTTTCTGCATGTATTTCTGATACAGATTATATGATAACTGTATACAAAGAATATCAACAGTGCATGCATTGAATGAAGATGATATTACTATATAACACTGTAGCTGTTTCTGTACATCTCTGAAAGCTGTTAATATTATCTTTAAGTCTCTGTATATTTGATAAGTCAGTAATATATTTTAATGTACTTCTTCTTTTATCATTATTATTATCATTATCATCATTATCATTATTATTATTATTATCATCATCACTACTATTATCATCATTATTACTATTATCATTACTATTATCATTATTATTATATCATTTCTGACTACCTCTGTCTTCATCTCTCTTAAGTACTTACTGAAATTAATTATGTTATTCTTCTTTAAATATTCTGCGGTTCTGCGGATCATCAAAGCGCGTGAGCACTGTCACAGATTGAAGAAAGAGAAGAAGAAGATGTTCAAGCAAGAAGAGACAGATTATAAGACATGTTATAATATCTTGAAGAAACTGTATAAGAAAGCAGAATAATAATAATTTTAAGTAACACTTCTGATGAATTTAGACTGAACTAAGTATAGAAATAATGCAGATACCACTGCATGTGAGAGAATGAAAAAGAAGATAGTAAAAAGTCTTATTCAGCAGTAGTGAGATCAGAAGATTATTATTATTATTATTATTCTTCAATTATAGATGTATGCAGTCAGAGACTATGACATCTACCTGAGAACTTTTAGTTCTCAGGGTTTTTCCTATATCTATAAAGTTAACTATTATACATTCACCAATTTCAGATATGCAAAATCAGAAAATTCCAGCTCAGAATATAAAAACTGTTTACAAATTGCAGTATTTTAACATCTTCTGATACTTTGAAATCATTTGACAATATCATGACAAAAGAAAAGAGAACACAGTCTTAAAGATAGACATATTAAAGAGATAGATAGAAAAGAATAAAAAGAAAAAAGTAAAGTAAAGAGAGACTATAACAAAACAAATTATCAAAAGATGATATATAGCTGTTTTAACAGACTATATCTGATCAATTTCCTCCTCTTTATATTCAGATATTTCTGAATTCAGCCATTTTCTTGTAGCTGCTTGAGTTTCTAATAGAAAGTCTATTAAGTATTTAATTCCTGTCTCAGTTGAGAATAAGAATCTCATATTTAATTAATTTAGATCATACTTCTCTTTCACTCTGACTCTGAGACTATTGTATAATGCCCAGTGCATTATAATATACTCAGAATTCTTATTTGTATTGCAGAAAGAGCATTCTATTGAATCAAATCTATCATCAAATCTTTGCATATAACATTTGAAATAGTCATATCCTAGTTTCAGCTGCATTATAGATGAGAATATTTTCTTTTTATACTTAATTAAACAAGATTTTCACTTGAGTTTTATTTCAAATCTTGAATAATGTATACTCTTCTCTTGTTTCTGCTAGCTTTCATTTCACTTATCTAAATAAGATTCTTTTATCATTCTCTTTATAAAAGATCAGGACATAATTTTTTTGAATAGATCTGCTTAATTCTGAACTCTTTTTTACAGCTGAATCAGTCAATGCATTGCCATGAATATTTATATGAGCAGAAGCTCAGTGTGAATGAATTATCAGCTTTGATATTCTTCTCTTTTGAATTTTTAAAACAGAGTTTAAAATCAGTTCAAGATTCATTTAATTATTATGAATCTGACTGTAAGAAGTCTATGCCGAATGAATCAGTATAATATATAGGTCTTATATAACAAAGAGAAAAATGTTAAAGAAGGAAAAGAAAGAGAAAGTGCGAGAATCAGTGATTAAAGTGAATTTTTATACATGTATGTGATGGTGTACACAGTGGAGCTTCGGAGCGGGGGAATTTATACACATTCATGGTGACTGAGAATTGATGATTGAGAATGACAGAGAATCAGAGCTTTCAGTGAAATCTATGAAGTGTAAATGAAATAGTCTATATGCTTGATTGAGTGCAGTCTGTCACATTAGCTTCTTTCTTTTCTGATCATGCATAGCTTTCATTGGTCAAGGAGCGCAGTCTCAGATAATGCAGAACTCGGAGTCCGGGTCAGGCAATCATAGCTGACTCATTTTACAAGATATTGTCAGCTACAGCTGTGAGATCTCTTATCAAGAATATTCTCAATCTCTCATTCAAGTTCATTATCCTCTTCTATGATCCCTGGCAACTGCCAGTTGAAAGTCAGTTGAGAAGGAAATGAGTCAGTGACAGCACAGCAGAGCAAGCTCATGTGAAACACATTATAAATCTCTGATAAAGTATCAAGACAGTAGTTATGACTGTCTAGAATCTCTGTCACTGTGTATTTTATATAATGATAATTCAATATGCAGAATGAATATGTAATCTGTATATTTTTAAGATTTAATCATACAAGATCTTCTATCTTATACTGTTCTGTAGAATCTTGTCAGATATTAACTTGATCTTCTTAATCTTGCTTCACAGTTGTCATAGAGGCCTCTGCTCAGTCACAGATATCTTAGAGCTTTATTACTATATTATCAGTGATCTGAATTAGACTGTAGAAGTTCAGTGTGAAATGTGTGATCTCTAGAAGATTTAACACTTTTATATGAAATTCATGTGTAAGAAAGAATGAGCTTATATCTGTTAAAATGACATTTCAGTTATTGATAGTAATCTCTGCATGTAGAAGAAGATCATGTCAATCATCTTATAAGTGATTACAGAACTTATGAAGATAATTCTTTACAGTCTGAATTATCTGTTCTGATGCATCATCAGTCTCAGAGTGATAGACAGTTAATAAACAGTGTGTAATCTTGAGAACTTAACAGATTCTTATTCAGAGAGTACTCATGAATTGATAGCTCTGATCTGATACTATAGATCTCAGTAATTCATGTATTCAATAGAACAGACTCTGTAGAAGAGCTTCAGTGATTTATTCAATATTCATCTTATTACAAGATTTCAATATTACATCTTTGCTGAATCAGTTCACAATAATCAGAATGTTTCTATAATTCTTACTCTCAGAGAGATTAACAGTGAAGTTATTATTATTATTATTATTCTTCAATTATAGATGTATACAGTTAGAGACTATGACATCTACCTGAGAACTAAAAGTTCTCAGGGTTTTTCCTATATCTATAAAGTTAACTATTATACATTCACCAACTTCAGATATGCAAAATCAGAAAATTCCAGCTTATAATACAAAAACTGTTTACAAATTGCAGTATTTTAACATCTTCTGATACTTTGAAACCATTTGACATGACAAAAGAAAAGAGAACACAGTCTTAAAGATAGACACATTAAATAGATAGATAGAAAAGAATAGAGAGAAAAAAGTAAAGTAAAATAAAGAGAGACTGTAATGAAACAAATTATTAAAAGATAGTATATAGCTGTTTTAACAGACTATATCTGATTGATTTCCTTCTCTTCATATTCAGATATTTCTGAATTCAGTCATTTTCTTGTAGCTACTTGAGTTTCTGATAGAAAGTCTATTAAGTATTTAATTCCTGTCTCAGTTGAGAATAAGAATCTCATATTTAATTGATTTAGATTATACTTCTCTTTCAATCTGACTCTGAGACTGTTGTATAATGCACAGTGTATTACAATATTCTCAGGATTCTCATTTGCATTGCAGAATGAGCATTCTATTGAATCAAATCTATCATTAAATCTTCATATATAAGATTTAAAATAGTCATATTCTAATTTCAGCTGTATTATAGATGAGAATATTTTCTTTTTACATTTAATTAAACAAGATTTCCACTTAGATTTTGTTTTAAATCTTGAATAATATATACTCTTCTTTTGTTTCTGCCAGCTTTTATTTCACTTGTCTAAACAAGATTCTTTTATTTTTCTCTTTATAAAAGATCAGAACATAATTTTTTGAATAGATCTGCTTAATTCTGAATCTTTTTTTGCAGCTGAATCAGTCAATTCATTATCATGAATATTCATATGAGCAGGAACTCAGTGCTGATGAATTATCAGCTTTGATATTCTTCTCTTTTGAATTGTTAAAATAGAGTTTAAGATCAGTTTAAGATTCATTTAATCATTATGAATCTGACTATTTCTAAGTCTTTTTAAAGCAGCTTGACTATTAGAGAATATTTATATCTCTTTCAAACTATTTTCTCTTTTATAAGATTTTATTTTAATAAGTTTGAAAGCTTTCACTATTATAAATAGTTCAGTGTCAAAGACTTCAGATACACAGTCTAAATTTCAGAAATCTGAGATAAAATTAATATTATCTTCAGTATAAGCAATGTCTGTATCTAATCTATTCAAATTCTCATTTTTTGAGTCATCTGAATAAATCAGAATAGAGTCTTTTATATTAATGATAGAAATTCACTTCAAATGCTGTTCATATTCTTTCTCTTTAGATAGTTCACTTATTTATAAGTCTATAAGAGATTCAAGCTT